TGTTGTTATTAATAGCTAACTGCGGTTGCAGTTTGTTGTCATTCAGTTTATTTTATACCCAGTTGTTGCTGTTGCAACGAGTTCTGCTTTCATCCTGTTTTCACTTGTGACTCTTGTTATGTTGTGCCAGGTGATATCTGCTTTATGACTTACTACTTTTTCATTCCAGATCACATTACAATCTGGGATAGTTCCAGCCGTGGTCATGTCAACCAGCTGTTCTTGTGCTGCCGGAAAGATTTTGTGCAATCATCTGGTGGCTCTTCTGTATCAGAGTGCACACTTCAGCACACTGAAGCTGCCAGTGGTTCCAGCTGATCTGTCCTGCACTGAAGAGCTGCAGACCTGGCATAGACCACGAACCCAGGTTAATCCTAATCATGGATATTTTAATGAGGTGGCAAATAAAAGCTATTTAAGTTAACTGTATTATTGTATACAGGGGATCAAGCCAGAAGCGGTGTCGGAAATGATTGTGAGCAAACCAAGGCTCAAAAAAGCAACCAAGGCTGTTGTTAAATCAACCCTTTATCCTGCACATTCAGGTAATTTACAATATTATAAAAACCTTATACCATGAAACATTTAATCTTACAACTATATGTTTGGCTTATAGTTGTAAGATTAACTATAGGACAAGTTATAGTTAATCTTACAACTATATTCTAGTCTATTCATTGGACTATGAATGGAATAAGGTTAGATTATTTAGCAGATTAAGTGATTAATAACTAATTGTATTGTTACTTGAAGCTTTTAAGACTAATTTCTGTATTCTATTTTTGTCAATTGGATCAATCCATACCTGGCTTTGAACTAAATTGGCTAATGTGTCATAGGTCCTCTCCCTGATCAGCACTTGATGACAATTGGTGAGAAGCTAAAACACATACAACCCCAATTGGGAATCTGCAAGATTCTTTCTGGCCTTGAGGAAATGACAATGGTGGACTCCAAATTTGGTCTGGTGCCTCATGGATCTGTGCTATCCTATCAGTATCCTGCAAAAGACACCGGTGGATATGTCAAGGATCTTGGTGCTCCAGACTTTCCTTCGCTGCCAGTTGAGGGCTATTCATTCAAAAGTGATCATGTGTTCGTACCTACGTATGCACAATCCGTCCACATGGAGAGCCTACAGGTGACCGCAGCGTTATCTACAGCCATAGAGGCACAGACCAGGGGGCAGTCAAACAGCCCAGTGTGGTTTGAAGCCCGCCGCCCTAGACTGACAGCCAGCAGATTTAGGGAAGCCTGCCATGTACGAGGTGAGTCTACAGCGAGATCTTTGGCGTGCCGTATTCTCAGAGGGAACATCCAGACTGCTGCAATGAAGAGAGGGCTCAAACTGGAAGAAGGCATATTGAAGATCTATGCTGAAAACGGGAACCTGTCTGTCTATCCTTGCGGCTTCATTGTACATCCAGATGCCCCTCACCTTGGAGCCAGTCCTGATGGCAGGGTCTACGATCCCTCTGAAAATCCTCAATTTGGTCTCGTGGAAGTCAAGTGCTGTGACACCAACACAATTTCTGAGGTAAAGCACTTGACTAAAGATCTCTGTGTCAAGAAAAGCCACAAGTACTACTGGCAGGTACAAGGTCAGCTGGCTGTCAGCGGGCTAGAATGGTGTGACTTTGTGACAGATACAGACACACAATTAACAGTACAAAGGATCTGGAAGGACAACGACACAATAATGTAATGAGGCAGCTACTTGACCAGTTCTATTTCGAAACTTTTATACATGTCCTTTTAGGGGAAAGTGAGCGTTGATTTCTGTTCAGGGTGCTTTGAGTTGTCTTTTTTTATTCTTTAGTACTATTATAGAATAGATTCATGTGACACGGTGGCTGAGTGGATAGCACTCTCGCCTCTCAGCAAGAAGGTCCTGGGTTCGAATCCCGGTCGGACCAGGGCCTTTCTGAGTGGAGTTTGCATGTTCTCCCCGTGTCTGCGTAGGTTTCCTCCGGGTACTCCGGTTTCCCCTACCACTAAAAATATGTCCAATAGTTCTGGCATGCGCTTCCTGTACTGGCGACCCCGCTCCCATCTCTGTGTGGAGTGAGAGACAAATGCCCATAATTAACAATTGTAAACCGCTTTGAGACTCAGATCTGCAGTGAAAAGGCGGTATATAAATAAAAACTTACTTACTTACTTACTTACATTAACAATCCAAGTGAATTTAATTTGAAACTGAAGTTGTGCAACAATTATTTTATGTGTCAAATATGTATTAGATTTATGTGGGGCAGGTTTGGGTTCAGTTCTTTTCCCATATTTTGTCTTGGTTTTGTTCTAATGTAAATGTAATGATGTAAATATTTTAAGTAATAGCTCATTGTAAATAACAGCTCAAATAATTGAAACTTGTTCCTTATGATTTATCACTATTATTTTTCACTGTAAATAAATGTAATTATTTGTCAAATGTCCTCTTGTGAATGGCAATGATTACATTTTTGAAGTAAAAGTTAACACAAATACTGAATGTCTATGGTTATCTTTTACTATACACAGATTTGATAGGATAGTGTACATACAATCACATTCTGTTTTGGACAAACAAGTTAAGGCAAACACGAGTGGCACAATTGATGCAAACAAAACTGCAATTAGCATATCAAAGTCCTATAAGTACAACTGTTGATTAGGTAATATGTTTAATTTTACCTTTGAAAGAACACTGAAATTAACATCTGGTATTGCTATGTTTATATCATATGAGCTGAATTTGTACTCTCTTCCCCCCCCCCCCCCCCCCCCCCAAAAAAAACAAAAAAACAAAATGCAGCTTTGGTGCAATACAAGTTAAAACAAAGACACAACATCACACTGGCTTGTCATTTTTTATATCCAAAGGTCCTTGATAGTGGGTCAGCAGGCAACAAACTGCCCACAGCTGGTTGACGGTGCCAGTCAGGGACAGCGGCACAACACAGTCCCAAATGTGGTACTCCTTCACTCTTCGTATTGCCCTCTCCACCAGCACTCTGAGGCGAGCAATTGCCTGTGTTTTATGGGCATCAGCAGCAGACAGTTGTGTTTTAGTTTTGAAAGGAGGTATGATTAGGCTCGCGCCAGTTTGGGCCAACAAGTCCTCAATAACAAAACCCTTGTCAGCCATTACTTCATCCCCACAACTTAGCAGTTGGAGTAGGCCAGATCTCATAGTCAATTCTTTGTCTGAAATTGAACCAGTGTAGAGCTTGGACACAAATGTGACAACTCCACAGGGAGCAATGGCAATCAGGCCCTTGAAAGTGTTGGCGTTTTTATAGTTGGAAAACGTTTCTGATTGTAAGGTGAGAGATGCTGGTACCTCGCAACGCACTTCAGTACAATCTACAATCACACGGATATTGGGGCAGTAATGGCGAAATTTGTCTGGCATTGTTGCTTGAACTTGAGCTCGCGTCATCCAAATCGGCTGTGCCCCAAGAACTTGAAACAAGTAGTTTGCCCAAGTGATGATGACACGGCTCACTGTCGAGAGGCTGACGTCAAATATGGAAGCTAGCACTTTTTCTTTGAGTCCAGCTGCAATTCGGCAAAAGAAAAGAAAACACTCATCAATCAGAGGCAGTTTACGTTTACGATAACCAGGGACCATGTTCTGTGCCCTGGACCAGTAGACCAGCGTACATGCTGATGGGTGCACAGATTCCCAAAACACCATGAAGATCTCCTCTGATGGAAATCGGGTATAAAAGCGAAATTCACTATCAGAGGCACAAAAGCGCTTGCATAAAGGCTGCTTCTGTTGCAGTGTCATCTCAGATATTTGTAATTGTAGCTTCAGCAGTTGTGATTCCAGCCTCTGATTTTCTTCTACCAGTGCATCAATTGATCCTAGAAACAACCACAAATACAGCATTAATTGAAAAGAAACACAAAAACATGTATCAACATAAGCCATCTTGGCCAGGTATAGTTGTTCTTAAAAGGGTAACACTTAAACATAATTTAAACAACAATAATAATGAGTGTGTGGTGTGAAACAGCTATAATACAATATAATCCCCCCCCCCCCCCCCCCCCTCTATTTTAAATGAATGGTCAATAGAATTCCCTTGAATAGGTATCATCCACTGAAGAAACAAAACCTGCACACTAAGGGCTGCTTTAACAAAATCATATGAAAGTCAATCAGCAGCAGGAGTGGCTGGCTAAATAACTATGCTAAGCTCTGGCCAAGTCTGTGCTTCACTGTAGGGCTGACTTGAGCTCAGTGTGTACAATGACGAGGATCACTATTTTGTCATGTCTCAAACTATGGTGGCCAATGCTTATGTATTTAATAGATAATAATAGCTAAAAGGTGGGTCAAAACATTGTTCATAAACATTGCATTGCTTCATCTCATCACGCCTGAAAAGCAATCTGCTGTTTTCCCACCATTCACCAAAACAATCATTAAATATTGCGGAGATAAACAATAACAGCGATCCTCCTTATAATTTTGTGACCTTGAAATTTACATTCAATAACAAAATTCAGGACTCATTTATTTCAAACGGACAAGTCATATCTGCCAGGTACGGATACCCCCTACTAAAACTTGCCAAAAGGCTTATTATAGCTGTTTCACAAACTCATAAGAGGGTAAAAACAAACCTACCAGGTGGGGGAGGAACAGCATAGTCGTGATCAGCAGCAGCATCAAAGCCTTTCTCGCCTTCATTAGTGGTTGTTTCTTCTCGGATATTGACGCACAGTCTCTTGCTAGCTCGCTCATATACAGATGTGCGATTTGCGACATTAAAGTTGTTCCAGGCAAATTTGGATGGAATTACTCCCTTCTTTAGACGCCGACGACCCATTGGTGTGACATAAATATCATCTTCCAGAAAATGAAGACTGCAAACATAGGTGCAACCATGACGAACTGTAAAAGTAGCCCCCTCATCTCTTCGGATTGCTCTTACCCAGAGCAATCGCGTGCATTCCTCCGTTGGAAATTGGTGGAAACTAAGGTACGGCTGTGAGTGTTGGTTTTACACTGGGGTACACAACACCAACACTTCGAGGTAGTTTGGGCTTTTCTTTGCGCCATCACCGCTGCTGTCGTTAGCTACCGGAAGTTTTTTAACTCAGCTATTCATTTACTTCCGCATTCGTAACGTCTTCGTGAAATAGGCCTATGGCGTCTTCAGACAGTGCGCAAAGACGCGGTTTTATTTTTGTTCGGGCAACTTTCAAAACTCAAATGTGTCGTTACAAGTGGATATCTACAATAATGATGACTTTGAAGAAAAAACAACTGGATATAAGTATTCTCTAGACCCCCCCGGACAAAATGAATGCACACATGTGTGGATTAGACGTGATTTGGCCCAGAATATTAGCATGAAAAGGTAAGAAAGGACAATATATATTTTTTATATGTATACAGTTTGACTACAAATACTTACTTTTGTTGATATTTAATGTTTATTTGAACATAATATGCATTTAGAGGTGGGAATAAGCTTTCAAAAGAGGTATAGCTTGACTATATTGACACAAGTTAAGTTATAATACTGATGCAGTTAAATGAAAAATATCTGAATCCTCCCTGTACAGGGAGGGTGATCCTTAAGGGGTTAAATACTTATAGCCAAAGCAATGTCCAGCCTTTAAAAACTAAGTTATTGTTTCATTCACATTCACACTAAGCAGTAAATATTGTATGTTTTTGTTTTACATGGACCTTTTTATGGGTCTGAATTAAAGACTAAATAAACAAAATAAATAATGCCTTGGGCTCAGATTGTAATTATTGTCATTTCTTTAAAAAGTGTCAGATTGAATTACTTAATATTATTAAATTAAATTAACCGATAACTAATAAGTATATACTCTAAAATGCAGCAGCAGGATTTTGGTCATCTTAAATCACAATTTATCTAGATTTAGGCTGTCTTTCTTTGTGCTCCTTGATGTGAAAGCTTGAGGTTGTTGTTTATTGAGACCTGGACTCTTCAATATGTGTTTTTAGCCTGTGTCAAAACATTCCATTGATAGTATGTGTTGGATTTGACTTGTTACAACTCAATCCAGGGATAAATAGCAAATATAAACTTAATAACTTTTCACATTTTACAAAGGCAGCTGTCCCTAAAGTCCCAGATGATCACATTCCCGGCCTTGTTTCAGGAAATGGCCCCAGTTTGTGTTTAAAACCAGTCTATGTGCTATTATCTTTGCATTTTAAAGACAATTTTGACATTCTTTGCATTCTGTTTAAACACATATTTGTCTAAAGTTCAACAGACATTTTCTCCTCAAGGTTTGGGTTTGTATGCCTTTTTTTTTTTTTTAGGAAGCTCTAAGGCAGGGTTTTTGAAGGGGCAGAAAGTTTCTATTTAGTTAATCTGTTAATCATCTTGGGAAAATCCACATACATATGCTAAGTCCAAATGCTGAAATAGAAAACCTCTTTTTTGTTTTAAATATATTTCAAAAATTGCCAAAACTTGAAAATTGAATCCGTAAAAGCAATAATCTCACCTTTCTCCAATTGCAACCACAAGCAATTCACTTCAATGTATTCTTGCCCAGCCCTAAATCACAACAGCATCTTGGACTTTACAAAACCGTTGAATTTGCCAACACAGATCAGAGAATCAAACGGTTCAAACACAAGAAATAAATAATGATAAAAGTCACACAGAGCCAGGGGCAGGTGAATGTCGAGTGTCAAATCTATAATTGATTTCATTTTAATGTATAGTTCAAGGACCTCTGCACACAGTGCAGAGGTCCTTGAAAACCAGACTCCCTCCAGTGCCCGAGGGCGCCCCCAGCTGCATCTTTCAGGCAGTGCACCTGAACCAAGACCATCTATATTTCATGGTATAGTATAAATGTTTTGAGAGCAAGGACATTTTTTTTTCAATTCAATTCAACACAATTTAATGTCATTTATTTTTGTACTTTTGGACTTTACATCGATAATTGATTCGTTCTAATGAGTTTGACTTCGTGTCTGTCTCCTTTCCCCGCCCTGTGTGTATCTAAACCACGTGCTCCTCTCCTTTTGTTGTCAGTCCATTGTGTTTTCTCCCCGGTTGGATTTGTGTTGTTATTATGGATTAAATTATCTTTGAATCTTGAATTTTTGCAGTCCTGAATTTGACCTCTCTCTTTTTTCCACCTTATTCAACACAAAAACTTTCCAAACTCACATGGCTTAGTGTGTATATAAATAACTTTATTAAATATCTTTCTTCAGGGTTTACATGTATTTACAAACATTAAATAAAAGCAGCAGTTGAGACTTCTTTCCACCTCCAGGCAACACATATCTCACCTGTATAAATACTCTTATATATTATTCAAATACTCTTATATAAATATCCTTTCACTTCTTTTTGCTATGTTTTTGTATTTCAGCTGGTGAAATGAAACCCAACCATGCAGATAAAGAGCCAAAGGACAGAGGAATGTACAAGTTTGGGCGACATAGATGTGGATCCTAAGTTGCCGTTGTTTAGGTTGTTGTTGGGAGCTGTTGTTGTCGTTGTAGCGGCTCTTTGGGACGTATAACGACAAGTGGCCACGTTACCTACGCTATCCACCGCCACTATCTCCACTTCCTTCGTACAGCAGGACGTGACGCAGGTGACCGTGTCTGACCCCGGCAAATGAGTCATGGTCCCGTTGCCCAGAGCGAGGGAGGTGGTCACCAGGCCTTCGCCGTCTGTGACTCGGACTTTGACCTCCCACGTGGAGGAGGAGCAGCTCTCGGGGCAGCTGGTCTGACTGATCTTCTCACAGACTGGTTTGGTGAAGTCTGTTACCTACAGAGAGACAACAATGGAGAATTGGAATGAGTAAGGTTTTTCAGGTATCTATCTATCTATCTATCTGTCTATCTGTCTATCTGTCTATCTGTCTATCTGTCTATCTGTCTATCTGTCTATATATCTATCTATCTATCTATCTACATATTGATCTATCATTTATGGACCTTGGGCATCCTGCACCTACTGTTTGTGTTTGACCTGTTGTTAGCAAATCAACAACTTTGTAATGTTCTCTGAGACATTATTTAAGGGCTGCACAAAAATACATTTTAATAGAATTGGAAATCGTCCAGTAGAAAGGATTTTCAGAAAAATACTATGACATGTTTGTTTTATATAATCATTATTGAATATTGATCTGTCCAAACATATAAAGTACTTTCTTCAATTCAGTTAATTCGTGTGTAGCCCTAAATCAAAACAGCAGTTGTCTCGAAGGACATTCCAAAGTTGTAGATTCCTCAACAACAGATCAGAGAATTTCTTCCAAACATGGCTTTTTTCCCACAGAGTTGTATAATAACATAATTCTACAATCCATTGAAACAAACGTACCTTTCTCTGCACGGTGAAGCTGCTGATGGCGTAGTTCATCTCTGTTTTCCCTTCGTCTTCCACGGAGATGGTGACGGTGACCTCGGAGCCGGACTGAGCCAGACTCGGGGCAGAGAGGACGACTTCGCCTCCGATGCTGCTTCCGACCATCTCCAGCCGCGTCGGGAAAGTCATGGGGAACCCTTTGTTGTTGGACGCCTTTATCGTGTAGGCTCCTTTTTTGGGGCTGGAGATGGTGAACGGCATTTTTACTGACGCGCCGGGTTCAATCAGGCCGCTCGACTCTTCCTGTAATGGTAACATGTTTTAAAAATCAATCAATCAACATATTTGTTTGTATAGCCGGGTTTGTGTAAAAAGGCAATTCAAAGTGCAATTTAAAAACACAGATAATAATGCATAAAAAAATAAAACTAAATTAAAAATTAAAAAAATATGCTAAATATGAGCGCATATTGAAATAAGATTTGCCAATGGGACAAGGCAAAATTATCTTGTATAGAAGAGCCACATAACTAAATATAAGAAGACAAAACTGAACTAATCTACTTTTAACTACAAGTTGTGGCAAGTACAGAAAGCAATGAAGAAAAAGTAAATTGTCAATTCAAATTTGGGAAATATGAGTACATCGTGGATACTTACAGCAATCACAGAGATGGAGGAGGTCATGATTTTCGCAGGGGAAAGTCGCTGAAAGGTTTTGGAGGAGCCCTGGCCTGTCTTTCCCTTCACGAGCAGACGACTCTCTCCCGCTGGCATCGGATCAAACTCCACTGAGTATTCTTTGTTCCCCAAACTGGTGACTTTGCCTTCAACAGTTCCATTTGGAGTTAGCAGCAACACCTCGGTCACTGTCGCAGTCTCGCTCCCAATCAGTGTCAGCTCCACGTTAGCTTTCTCGCCTTCAAAAACAACAAGAAATGTATGTTTTATAGAAAGCATTTGTAAAGTTACAGGGGTGTCAAACTCATAAGATCTGGTACGGGCCAGAAGTATAAATGTGGTTTTCTTTTATAATTATTTTGTAGTATATTTGGATTCAACCACAACTGGGCCAAATGTCAAGTATGAGATGTGTTGAAAGACTAGTAGTTTAGTATAAAAAATACATATATATCAATATCTATAATACATCTGTTTTTATATTTACCTGCTTTGGGACGATTGGTTTGAGCAACTGTGCCTCCGAGAGGACCCTGAGCTGGTCCCATGATATCGTAGATGAAATCCAATGGACTGTCCCCTTTAAAATACAACAGACACAAACCATTCGTCAAGACCAGTATCGGAACATTTTCTGATCGAGTTTGAGGCAGGAGTCAGGACTTACCGACAATCTTGGCGGTGTACGGGAAATTAGACTTTACTCTCATTTCCCATTCTCCAACTTCTTCTTTCAAGTGGATTCTTCTGAAGTTTCCCACGATCGAACTTGTGTCGACTACATCTCCTGTTTTATCTCCTGAACCAAAGCGAAGTGCGGTGCATAAGTTTGACTTTTCCAAACAATAAAACCTCTGATATTAAAAACGTATATTTACCTGATGGATCGACAAACTCGACACTAGTGACTGGTCCAGTGACGTAAATCATTACGTCTTTGGTCGTCTCGTCCATCATGAAAGTAAAGTTTTCAGACTTTCCTGATTCTCTAGTTTCATCCAAAAGTGTGACCTAGAGGGGGAAGTAGAAGTTGATTATTTTTATTTTATTTTGGGTTTCTTTCAATTATACATATTGACTGCTAAGGCCTCGATTTGCTCATTCATCTCTTTCATTGAGATATTATGTATGGTTGTACATTTGTACATTTTTTACTGCAGACATCTGAAGCTAAGCAGGGTAAATTGTGGTTAGTACTTTGATGGGAGACCTCTGAGAACACCAGGTTCCACAGTCGGGTGCCTGTAAAGTGCCTTGTTGTGCCCTTAGGCAAGACACTTCACCCACATTGTCTAGAATGAGTCTGGTGTGTGTGAGAATAGTTGCAGGTTGTTGGAGAGGCCAATGGCACATACTGGTTGCCTCACTTCTGTCAGTGTACCCCTGGGCAGCATGTGAAGCCAAAAAAGTAGTGTGTCTTTTATCTACTAAGGATCTATTTTGTTGAATCACCTTTTGGTCTAGTATCTTTACCGCTTGTCTGTTTCATGTTGTGTTATATTTTATTGTATGTTTGCTGCATATAAGTGTAAATTTACCATAGAAGAGGCCGAGGACGAGTCAAACACGAGGTCGGCGGCTTTTCCCAGGTCGCTCACTGGCACCGAGAGCAACTGTCCGCCTGAAGCTTGAGTTATGGCTTTGTACTCCGTCACATCCACGAAGTTCCCAGTCAACACAATGTTCACCTGGAATAAATTGAAATCCACCAACTTAACAATGCGTTCTCGTGGCCAAAAAACCAGCCTTTGTATAAAAAAACAAGTAAAAAATCTCTCACCGTGGACTTGGTCTGCTCAAGCAACGCCATGACACTGTCTTTCTTGCTTTTATCTTTGGCGCCAGCATCGGTGAACATAAATATGTCTGAACCAGGAGGAGCACCTGTCAGAGCCACCTAGAAAAGCACAATCAAAAGTGAATTTAACACCAGAATGAATTTCTTCTAGTGTCAAATGTTAGACTCTTGAGCTATTGAGACCCTACCTCCAGGCCTGTGAGAGAGTTTTCATCTCTATCGCCACCACCAGACGCAACCAACTGAGCAAGTTTATCCGTGAACGCCTTAGAATCTGTAGTTTTGAAAATGGTTGCGGGGTCTGGTGGAGAGAAAATTATGCTCTGTGTTAATGACAAATTAACTGGAAGAATACATGGGATCAGAAAAGTTTTTGTAAGGGCAGTGGACACTCGACATTTATCAACATTGATGGACATTAGTCATCTGCCTCTTATAGAAAAAAAATGCTATATGTGTTTTTTTATCATTGCATATCTTGTGTTTTAACTGTGATTCTCGGTTATGTTGTGAGCTAGGGCTATACAAGAATACATTGAATTGAATTTGAATGTTTTTCTCTCACCTGGGTCGTGGAAAGTGACCAGAACGTACACCGAAGGCTCTGCTTGTAGCCCGGCTTTGGAGTTGCTTATAATGGTGTCGGTCATAACTTGCACTGCCTTGATATCCTGCGTCATGCTAGCGGTGGTGTCAATGGCAAAGACCAGAGGCTTCCCAGACGTGGCTCCAATCATCCTGTAAAAAAACACAAATGATCAAACCCTTTAATGTTCACTCCTCGAAGAAAGCGGTTTTTCTTTTTTGATTTTCTAATATGTAGGAGCACTGATAACACCGATTATAGGTTTTTCTGCTTTTTTAACCACGTTTTTTTCAATTATAGGCCTTTACCAAATGGTTGCGATGCAGCTTGATGGTAAAACTTCCTAAAACCAAGTGCTAGAGATTCCCCAAAGAGGTAGCTTTAAGTTCCAAGCAGTAGATATAGGGACTCCAAAGAGATCCAAATGGTTGGGGAGACCATTAACGACTTGAGACTTTATTATTGTGGGCTTTTCTTACCGTAAAAAGTTTTCATCTCCGCTTGCTGCTCGGATATCCTGTAGGAGCTGGACGGTGGCCGAAATAGCCATGTTTGCGGCTTCTTCGTGGAGGTGACCGTGACTGGAAACTGGTGTGTCCTTGTTGATGCCTCCGGTAGGGCTCACTGTCCTTGAAGCATCCATAGGGCTTCCATTGCTGCACTTTCCTGTGTGATTAATTGCAACATTCAAAGTCATTTGGAGATTCGATCATCAAAGTGGTTGTAGTTTAGCTTACGTTGCTCAAAGCTTTTCTTACCTGCGGGTTTGGAGGTATCCGGTGCCACAGTGTAGTAGCCGGAGGTGAGGATTTTATCTTTGATGATGTTGTTTAAGATGTTGTTGGTACATTGTCCAATACAGTTTCTGCATGTGGCTTGTGACAGAGCTACGGAAGAAGAAAGTATTTGTTGTGATAACGTTTTCTCAAATTATGCATCGGTTTTATGTAGTGCTTTTTTATTCTTTCACTCCATACACATCTGCCCTGGGGCACACTGGCAGAAGCAAGGCAACCAGTCTGTGCCATTAGACCCTTGGACCACCACCGACCATTCACACACACACCAGACTCATTCCAGGCAATATGGGTGAAGTGTCTTGCCCACGGACACAACAACAGTTTGGTATTTTAAAGCCACAGCCGCCCCACTATGGCGCCTGGTGTTCCCACAGGTCTCCCATCACAGTACTAACCAGACCCCGTCCTGCTGTAAGTGCTGACAGATGGTGCTACTTCAGCGGTTTACCCCAACAAAGCCATATATCTTTCCCAGGTTTTGTAATCTTACCCGTTTGATGTCTGTGTGTGTGTGTGTGTGTGTGTGTGTGTGTGTGTGTGTGTTTCTATGCTGCTGTGTGTTTCATAAACATCATTTGATCAATTGATTTTTACCTGCCACAGTTCCTACGTTGCCATTTCCATTCAGCAGTTCAGCATTTGGACTTGTCATGCCGAGTTCTATCCAGTTGCTGTTACTGTAGAAATCCTTCAAAGCAACAAAACAATGTAAGAATGGGAAATATTCGGGGGTTTTTTGTGCGTCAATCTTGCACGTAACCTACCTGCAGAGTGTGGGTGATTTTCCCCAGCTGCTGCTTGGCCGTCTCCACGTTCCCTTTCTTGTTGTTGGCCTTCACCGCTGTTAATCCCGCCGCGATGATGTCACGTCCTGCGTTGAACATCTCGTTGTGAAAGTGATGGCCGCTGGATTCAAACTGTCCACTTTTGTCCAGTTTAATGTTGACATTCAGGATCGACTTCACGCTTTCGTGGAACGCCTTGAGTCCGTCCATAATGTCACACGCTGCCGCCACGCTCTCCACAGTGTAAGGCTTGGTCTAACGTCAAAGAAATGAAGTTTAGTCGTAATAACACATTGTTTAGGTTATTTATGTTATTTGTGCTAATTTTAAACATGATCTAGAGACTGGTAGAATAGAAAGTTTAATAATAATAATAATAATATATAGTAAATACAGTATAGTGTTACATTTTTGCTTGCCTCATTCTTTTTAGAAAACTTATTTTATAACTTCTTTCACTATGAGCCAAAACCAATACTTTATGGCTTTCTATTATTTGCTAGGACAATACAAGTAATTCTTAATCTCTTTTTAATCAAAGATCCATCATAGCATTACAAGATATTTAGGCAAAGGGGGGTAGGGATAGCAAACAAAGCAACACACAGAATGGAAAAAAGGAAAGAAAAATTGTTGTTGTATAAAGTAAGAATCAAAATACTTACTGGGAAAGTGAAGGCTTTTCCATTGGACTCGGCCACACTGCGACACACTTCTACCGTCACTTCGAAGATTGCTCTCTTTGTAATCTCCTGGTGATTGTATGTGATTTCTCGGTCCACACGAAACGCCGTCACTGCTGTCGGCAGCAGCAGAAGGCTCAAAACAATGAATCCCAAAGTCATTCTGGAACCTACACACAGAAAAAACACAGTCAATGATACGGTTTTAGAAAGACATAGTGTAATAATAATAATAATAATAATATCTCATATCATGTGTCATTATCTTTATTATTTCATATCTGGGTTCGGGAAAATGATAATAATACATTGTTATTTCTTAGGCCTTGTGCTCAAGTTTGCCTTAATTAACAACTAAAAAGTACAACTAAAAACAGTTAAAACACAAGGTTAAAAACAGCATTAACTGTCAATGGTGTAGTTATGGTGTTATTGAATAGGCTTGTCTAAAAATATAAGTTTTAAGGGTGGATTTTTGTGTGTGCGTCAGATTTTTACCTGTTCTCTTTGCGCTTTGAGTTGAGTTTGTTGAATCTCTCGTGGATTCCTTGTCGATCGGAGTGAAAGTATCTCCTTAAGTAACACAAAAGAAAGCAAAAATGTTGGCACTGAATTGAGCTGGGACCTAAAAATATCTTGTTTTGCTTCGGTGTTGACGCAAATACAAAAGTGTTTCTATGTTTACTTGTGCATCAGTACTGGACATTTTGAACTACACCCTGGACTAAACTGGTTTTTGGAATTGAACGTACGAATCACATTGATGCACCTCCCTGTTATTCTTTAGAAGGGATTAATGCATCTTTATTGTGTGGAAACATAAAAGAAGTTAGCTAGGTGTGTTTTTTCTTTGGTATTAATGTTACATAACTTCAAACGGACAGACAGGAGGAGCAGCAATAAGCCTTTTCATATTACAACTATTGAGGAATAATACATGAACAGGTGTCAAACCCGTGGTCCACGAGCCAAATGCGGCCCGTCAGACCATTTTCAGTGGTCCTTGACATTATTTTGAATTATTAACTTGCAGAATTGATGGTAAATTAACCCCCACAGTGGGAAAAATAAAGAACCTCTTAATACTATTCTTGATATGGGCTATCATGGCGTGTTATATCTAATTTTAAAGCTAATTTTCTCAACAAAAACAAAATCATATGTTATTGTATTCTACATTTTGAACCCAGCACGTCATTAGAAGTGGTTAAATAAGAAATGTAAATCATTGGCCAATCCTTGCAACTTTTAACCCAGCTTTGGTTCAGTCCAAACAGTCACTGAACTAGTTTTTTTCCGAAATGTCCAAACTCAGGTTAAATAATACCTTCATATTTGTAAAAAAAAAATGATTTCGAAAATATCCACTTCTATATAGATGAGCTTCAAACATGTTTATACTTTTGGCCCCTGGGAGCCTTTTTTTTTTTTTTTATCCGGTCCTGACCAAAATGAGTTCGACCCCCATCCTTTGTATTCACATTTTGTTTTACCTGCATCAGTGACTTATTCTACTGGACGATCAAAGTCCAGTGCATCGCTCACATGACTTCTATAATTATTTTGTTCAAATTCCAACCATTTGTTTTCAGCACAACAAGGGCGCGTGCGTAAGTCATTAAGTTTATAATTATCTTTGACCTACGTGTCATTTATTGTGAGCGATGTTCAGAACGGCCGTGGGTTCCTCCCTTCAGTCACACCCTCTGTGTTCAATTCTTTCAGCCCGGACTCTGTGTCTCCACAGATGAATACGCTACAAAACTATCTGCAATTATCTCTGAACGAATCTTAATCTGCATTTATGTATTCAATACAGACTGGAATGTCTAGTCCCACTTGACTCTTTCTCTGACGTGAGGTTTGTTTTACAGAATAAGGACACTATAAAATTATAAAAAATATCATCAACAGTTTCTCTATTTATCTATCAACTTCTCAGATTAAAAGTAGGAGAACTCACTTATGGTATTTTTCTATATATATTTTTCTCTATCTTCCCCCTTAAGCTGATACTTGACCAATTACAATACATTACATATTTTACTTTTTTTGCTTTCAGAACATGCTTATTGATGAAAAATAATTTGTATTTTAAAATATATTTTTACGGTAACCGATACCTGGTTTTTGGTATCAGTTCCTAGACATATTTGTTTTGTGTGCGTCGCTGTGTAGAAAACATTTTAAGGTTTCAAGTGTAGTTTTCATCCTTTACCTTTAACTTTACCCAAGAGTAACTTTCTATAGTGGGTTTAGTTCTGGACAAGTGCCAACTGAACGGTACCCAGTCCTTTCCAGTCTCTATACAGACTCCATTGTCCTCCGTACCAATATGTTTGTTATTATTGCAATTCTATGTTCGGATTTGTTTGATTCTCTGATCTGTTATTGGCAAATGGACAACTTTGTACAGTCCTGCAGACGATTGCTGTTGTGAGTTAGTGCTATACAAAAGGTTTTCTATAGACTTATTATAACACTCAAAGACACTTCACATGTCATTATTCATTCACTCCACACACGCCACAGCTGTCCTGGGTCACACTGACAGAGGCAAGGCAACCAGTCGGTGCCATCAGCCCCTCTGACCACCACCAACCATCCACACACACAGCAGACTCATTCGAGACTCAACACTGTGGCACCTGGTGTTCACACAGGTCTCCCATTACAGTACTAACCAGACGTCTCCTGCTTAGGTTTGAGGTCTGACGGATCTGGATTTCAAAGGCACGTGGCAGCACTATATTGAATTGAATTGAAAGTTTTTGCCCACACGTGTATGGAATTTTATACAGCACGGGATTTAATTTTTATAAATTAATTGAGAAAATTGAATCGGAATCAGGACATTTTTCACTGTAAACTATGAATCAATAATGTTTGATATTTACAACACACATTAAATTACTCATTCATAATAATCTTTTAAATCCTCCCTTTAATGGATTCAATAATTTAAACACAAAACAATATTACTATATAACAGATTTCATAATAATAATGATGATAATAATAATAATACAACAACCGCATATTGAGGTAGTTAAAATAAAAATATATTTGGTGTAGTTTAATATTAGTTTATACATGTTTTACTAGAAATTAATTGAAAAAATTGTAATAAAATAAAAAAATCACTAGATTTTTGATATTTACCCATTAAACCTTTCTCTTATGCATTCAATAATTTAAAAAACAAAACAATGCTACAAGAAAACATATTTAATAATAATACTAATCCCACATATTGCTGATGCTAAAATTAATTATCTTTTGTTTAATTTAATTTAAAAAAAAAATTAGTTAATTAATTTAAAACATGAAATCGAAATCAAGAAATTTGTCACTGTAAGCAATTAATCCATTTTGATTTTTACAACACATATTAAACTCCTCATTCATAATAAAAATCTTTTAAATCTTTCCTCTATAATAATCTTCATCTCATGCATTCAATAATTTAAACACAAAACAATTTTACAATAAAAAAGATTTCTCAATAACAAAACAACACATTTTAATATATTGCTAATCCTAAAATGAAAAGATAAATACAAAAATAGCATCTGTGTCTTACCTGGATGTAGGATCTGGAGGTTGTGAAGAAGCTGGACAGAAAACCTCCTTTTTATTTACTGTGGTTAATGAGGACCTGGGAGGAGCGAGGCCCAACCTACATCTGTGACCGGCTAATTATTATCTTTGTACATGCGTAAAATTAATGATGAAGAACATGGAAACACACCCACAGTGCGACATCAGCCCGACCGTGACATCACAGCAGAGCGGAAGCACGGCCACATTCCAAAGTATTAGTTTTCATTATATAAGGATCATCGCAATGGAAACGAGATTTACATATTTCAAAGAAATTCTTCACATGGAGACTTTGTACGAAAGAGAGAGAGAAGAGTTTGTGCTGGAGATGAGAGACTAAATAAAGAAATATTTTTACGAAGAGACGGAGTCAAGAGGAGAAATGTGACTTCTCTGTCTCTCTCTCGCTCGCTCTCCTTCTATCTGGTCTTTCTCCTTCTCACCGGGCTCTCTCTCACTGAGCTCGAGCTGTTTTGCAAGGAAGAATGGGAAAGAATTCCAGTTTCTCAATGTGAAAAACTGATAGAGACATACCCCAAGCGACTTGCAGCTGTAATTGCAGCAAAAGGTGGCGCTACAAACTATTAGCGCAAGGGGGCCGAATAATATTGCACACCCCACTTTTCAGTTTTTTATTTGTTAAAAAAGTTTAAATTATCCAATACATTTCGTTCCACTTCACGATTGTGTCCCACTTGTTGTTGATTCTTGACAAAAAATTAAAATTTTATATCTTTATGTTTGAAGCCTGAAATGTGGCGAAATGTTGAAAGGTTCAAGGGGGCCGAATACTTTCGCAAGGCACTGTATTTGTGTTGTAGGAGTGGAGGGGAGTGTTGTGGTGACGCTGACTGGCAGTGACTCTGCGAAGGTGACGGAGGTGGCTCTGGTGGAGGCTCAGGGCACAAACTCAGTCTCTGGGACCGTGAAGGCCCAGGAGGGGAGCTACATGGTCCACTTCTCCACCATCCCAGCAGGACAGTTTGTGGTGCGGGTCAAAGGGACAAAAGACTCCTCTGTGTTCCAGCGCCAGTCCTCCACCAGCTTCACCTCCTCCAATCTCACCATCAGTGTATGTGTTTCATTTTAGAAGTGTGTGTGCCTGTGCGTGTGTGTGTGTGCGTGTGTGTGCCTGTGCGTGTGTGTGTGTGCGTGCGTGTTCAGGCTTTCACCGCATCCTAACAACCTACCCACAACAAACCAGTATCCGTTGGAATCACTTCCATTAGCACTCTGGCCAATCACTGTCAGTTAGAACACTTTAGTACAAGCTTAGACTGGACAGAACTAGGAATAAGCAGGTTCTATCAAACAAAGCATGAAGTTTATTCCAGGGATTTGCAACCAGAAATTAATAATCCAATATTCTCTTATGGCTCTGTGTGGGCCGGTTCTAATACTAACTTGACGTTGACGCCCATGTTCTAGATCAGGGATGTCAAAGTCAAATGCATCAGAGGGCTGAAAAACTAAATTGCATCAAACCGAAGGCCAGACTGGTTCAAAGTTTATTAAAACATATTAAAATGATTGCATATAACCTACTGAACCGAGACCTAACAGAGTTTACCGCATTTTATTTTTCAACAGGCTCACAGACAAAATCAAACTTCCTTCAAAGTGAAAACACTGAGCATGAACTTAATAAACCAATATTTTCTCATGGCTTTGCGCGGGCCAGTTCTAATACTAATAAAATGTCACCCCGGTGGCCAAGATAATTCATTTGCGGGCCGGATCTGGATGTTCTAGATTTATGTCAACCAGTTAAGCAGTCAAAATACACCCAATCAATGTACTTTGCTTTCTTCAAGGAGTGAACATTAAAGGGTTCAATTCATTTGAACATCCAGGTTAAAATGTAGAAGTGTCTGGCTGGTCGGACAATCCGTCGCATCTGGACAATCTTACAACTTTCTATCTTAACCAAGCTCTTCTTTTATTATTAATGATTATTTTCTTCTATTTCCAGGCCAGTGCAGACAGTCTGTTGACCCCAGGAACGCCCTTTGTGGTGCCCTTCTCTGTGTCCAGCGCTGAGGTAGGAGTAAACATCACCATCAGAGTCACCAACAACCGTGGTTTTGCCTCGACTTTCCCGAGCGTCTTGATGATCGACAGCGGGAACAGCACCAACGGCACCGTGACCCTCTCGGCGCCGCTCAACACACGCTCGGGCAGCGACGTGACCCTGACCATCGAGGCCGAGACTCCGACCGGCGACGACAATTTTGTGGTTCAGCGTTTCGCCGTCTTCAACACAGTAAGACGCCAGGATTGATGTCGCATTTATGTGGTATCCTGTCAATCAGTGTAGAGGAGAGTGAGATTAAAGGAGCAGTATGTAAACATCTGGCCAAAAGTGGTACTGCACTCTCCCTGACTCAGGTTGCCAGATATGCAGATGAATCTAGCTGGGACCATAATAATAATATCTGAATAAAGAGTTTTGTCAACAACAAATCTATAACCAACACCTTTTTCACAAAGATAGAAATCCCTGTTTTATTCCTTGTTTTGTCATTAATGTTTTTAGAATTAGAAAGACATTTTATAAATAAGACCTTTTTTAGTTCTGCGTCCACATGGTACTTTACCAGTGAGATTAGCTCAACGCAGTGAGTTCTGGCGCCCGGATCACAGACTTTCTGATTGGTGAAACGGTGGAGGGCGGGACATTGAAATTAAAACAATAACAAGATTTAGGGGCTGTAAAACTGACTTTAAAATGCAAATATCTCTGAACTACATTTATCAGTTAAAGAATTATTGGAAAAGAGCATGTTTTATTAAAGCCTTTTGACAGATTAGGGCCCTTTAATGATGACTCGACATGAAAATCTTACATATTGCTTCATTAAGAGAGAGACTTTCTTCAACCCACAGTGGGGAAATTGGTGCCTTGGATCTTTTTGTGGATCACTTTTTTGAATCATCAAATCTTCAGCTCCAACTTGAAGCTTGGAACTGAAATCTTCCTTTATCAGTTGGTTTTAGGCCCTTTTACCATCAAACTGCATCTGAACCATTTGGTAAAGGCCAAATAAAATAAAATAAAAACAAATTGCTTGTATTATTACCGCTCTTACATCTTAGTTAAATTAAAAAAGACCAAGAAGTGAACGTTAAAGAGTTAAGATTAAGAGATTCTTTATTCAACCCACAGTGGGGAAATTCCAGTGTTGCATCATCAGTTAAAGAGCAGTAGGAATGAGGAGCACACAACCCAAGATGAGTAAATATGAACTAAATACTTGCGTTGAGAGTATTGCGGCGTCACCTGCACATGAAAGCCAAATCCAGTCAGACCTTCCTAAGCTAAGCAGGACAGGGCCTGGTTAGTGCTGTGATGGGATACCTCTGGGAACGCTGTGGTTTACTGTAGAGCCCTGCACTTGAGCCCTTGGCCCGAGGGCCCCGACGGCCCGACAGCCCGAGGGCCGGGCTTCGGGCCGATGACCGCATAATGACCTCGGACACGGGCCGGGCTCGGGCTCTTCATTTTCAGAGCGGCAGAATACATTTACGAACGCACCCACTGAATATAGCGTTCTATCACGCTGTAGTGTTTGTTGTTCTGTGTAGTGTTGTCATTGACGGCACATAGCGTTACTTACAGGTGTGTTGCAGCATCTGGGCATCATACAGCTGTGTATCATACAGATGTTCACTCTGCACCACTCCGCACACACAGAACTCATTGCAACACATCACTACCATGTATAACTCCGCCCTCTAGCTAAGTCTGCGTTCATATCAGTGCGCGGCACTATATACTACGCTAAAACATTGTTATGGGAGGTTACAAAAAAAAAAAAAAAGGCGGGCTTGATGCGGGTTTCGGGCCTGAAAATTGAGAAACCATATCGGGCCGGGCCGGGCTGGGGCGCCACCCCCTCGGGCCAGGGCCGGGCTCGGGCCCAGATAATAGGCCCGTGCAGGGCTCTAGTTTACTGGGCTGACTGTGCCCTCTGCTGGTCGGTGGTCTCTTGAGAAGTGTGTTCCATGTTAAAACAAAAAAAAACATACTGTTTACAACACAGGTGAGATACCCCAGCTTTAAATATAGGTGTCCTCAAAACAAGAGAAAAATGACTTACTTTTAACCATTATTCATTCCTCCATCTTTGCCGTGTTTGAGGATAAGCCTGTGTGTAACAAGTACAATTATAACTTACTTATAAAATCCTCCTTGTCTTCCTCAGGTCACAGACTTCTCCGCTCCCGTGTGCGAGCTCACGGGTCTTCAGTCCAACTGTTCCACCGACTGCAACTCAGACCAGTGGTGGTTCTCGGCTCGGGTCACGGACGGCGCTGACGGGACGGGGGTGAACCGGGTCAGCCTCAAACAGGGCGACGGGAACTTCACCGCCACCAAGGACCCCAACAACCCCAACATCACCACAGTGTCCTACAGCGCCTCCTGCTGCGCGCCCTCCATGCAGCTACAAGCAGTGGATAACGTGGGCAATGTGGGCACCTGCTCTTTCTCTAACTCTAGTGTTGTGACTTCTCCATCTTCTCTGGCCACAGGAACAGCGCCCTCTACTGGTCTACTCTTTCTAAACATGATCATTCTTTTGTTTTCCTATCTGTTGAAATGAGACTCCTTATGACAGGTCAGAGGGCCACTTTAGCTCGCCAGACTTGTCCAGGGGCTGACACGGATTGTAAAACTATTTTGACTAGAAAAGATCTATTTTGAGAAGCTAAATGAGGTATAACATGATAATTTAATACATGTATAACATCTGTGAGAGCTGAGGTGAGTTGAAAAGCTTTCTCAATAGCTATGTCAGTGTCGTAAACAATATTTGTGTGCCATAATGAAAAACAAACGTCAGTGCATACAAATAAAATGGCTTCAAAAGGTTTTGAGTTTTATAACATGCCTGTATTGGAGAAGCGGAATTTGGCTGGATAACACGACGAACTTGTGTTTAAAATCTCAATGGTATTTTGGGTTAGCAAAGCATAGGGCCACATAGAATGACACAGTGGGCCGCAATTGGCTCTCGGGCCTTAGTTTGGACATGCCTGGCTCATGTGGATAATCTGTATTAACTCAACTCAAAACTCCAAGAATTACTGCCGTTTGTTAGTCCCCGGTTTTTACGAGGTTGATTTTGTGTGGCAGAGTAGTTAGCTCTCTCGGCATGAAGCTTCGGGGTTTGAAGCCCGGTCATAACAGGGTATTTCTGAGTGGAGTTTGCATGTCCTCTCAGTGTCTGTGTAGGTTTCCTTCAGGTGCTCCAGCTTCCCTTTCAACTAATAACATGTACAATACCCCCCACCCCCCTCTCTTTGGTCAAAATCATTCTGAAATCTCAGTGGGACTTTCCTGGTTAAATAGAAAAAAAACTATTACATGACTCGACTGCTTCGTACAGGCATGTTTACTCAAAGGGGAAAAAATCCACTGATTGCCAAGTGCCTGGACTCACCTCTTTGTAATTATTTTGTTATGGTGAGAAGCCAGAGATGGAAAAAAAGTTTAAATAATATATATACAGATTTTTTGTGCTTTCAATTATATTTTCCCAAGATAAATGTCGTTGAAAATGACTGTGATTTAAGGCAGAGCAAAGCAAAAACCACACAAGCCTCTAGTCAGACATTTATTTCGTATTCTGTCTGAGTGAGGTCCCACACAGCTGTAAATATGAATTTTCTTATGAACTAATGAAGTAACATTGTCCTGTTTCTGCTGTGCCGTATTTAAAAGTGTATTGTTGAGCTAATTGTGAAAATGTCATTTGAAATATTCTGAAAAATATGCCAATTATATCAGAGTTTGCACTTACAGCTCACTTTAGTCTCGCTCACATGCTGCTATGATTATTTATATAGTGTGGGAGAACCAAAATAGTTTATCATTGTAAATACTGTAATTCATAACTGTTGCATATTGTGCTCTCTTTAGTTTAACTGGATCTATCACTTTTGCCAAAATTCTTTTTATGTGAATGTAGAAAACCAACAGTGAACCCTGAACCGGCCCAAAGAACCTTTCAGTAGAAATGTAGTATCCAGTATCATTTAATGTTGTTTTTGATTGATTTTCATATTCTGTCTTTTCTGAAACTGTGCAAAACACTGAAATCTTACCACTGTGAGACAAATAAAAGATATTTTCTCTGCATAAATGTCATTTCTACACCATAAGAAACCGCCAGCATGACACAGTTCAGCACTTTACTTATATTTGAGAACTTTTTGTTTTTGTATTGAATTTTTAACACATAGAGGAGCACGTGTACAGTACTTACATACAATGATGACATAGTTTATACACATTCCTGTACAGTGGCATTGTGGGTAGGAGATGGACAGGGAGGGGTTCCGGAGTCGCACAAGAATGTTAATCGTGTGTGTGTTGATATTACAGGATTATTTAAGAACTTCAGAAACTGAAGCCCTATAGGTCCTACTCTACTCTACTCTACTCTACTCTACTCTACTCTACTCTACTCTACTCGGTTGCGTTTCCATTTTTCTTTAGTATCTGATACCGTAGCCAACACCCAACATCCAGCAGCACTTTGCCCAAATACTGGCAGAACACTTTAGAACCAGCTTCTTCTGGTTAGAACTACCTAAAAAAGTACCTGGCACCAGTTAAACCGGGCCAGTGGAAACAATCCCAACCAGGGTCAAGTTGAGTAGAGTTGAGCCAAATGGGAGACAGGTGAAAACAAGGCTACACTGCAAAAAGTGCATTGTCCCTATCAAATAAATATAAAAATAAATAACCAAAAGAGTAAATGAAGAGAGTGCAAAAGGAGTTTAAAAAAGACTGTTTTATTGTGGTCAAATGCTTTACAGAACACAAAACAAATGACAAGATTAAAAATTGTCCTGAATCTTTTATAACTATTTACATTTGAAAGCTTGGGTGGCCCTCTCTGCAGTGTGAGGTATGTTGGATTAATCATGGCTAATCTTTTTTTGGCATTTCCTTTTCCTTAAATGTATAAAAAGTGTTTGTTGTAGACTTGACTCTATTCCGACGTTCTCAAATCCCTCAAACCGTGTCCCCTCTGGGCCTCACTGCTCACTCTCTCATATATATTACAGAAGTGTGATCCATCCCCTCAGCATCAAAAGGTAATTATGTGAATGCAACGGAAAGTGTTCTACTTTTTGCGTTTTGTTTTTACCTCGGAGTGCAGGAGATTGGGTCCTTGTCAACGCAACGGACGGTGTCTACAATCATCTGAATTCAGACCAGTTCAAACTATTTCTACAAAGGAGCTGAGAGCAAGGAGCTGCTGCCTTTGGGATTTCTCATATTTATGACTTTTATAAACTTGCAGATTGAAACGATTGGATCTGAGTTTACCGTGACGTATGTAATGTGCCCGAGTGAGTGAGGCATTTAGCATGTAGCCTAGCTTTAGTATTTAGCCTTGCTTTAGCCATCCCCTTTGCCAGTAACGGAGCTAAACGGAAAATAAGGCTTTTGCCGAACCCCGTAGGGAGAAGAGCCACAACATCTAAACATTCCTCTTGCTCCAGATTTTACTTTTGCATTCTCCGCCATCGCCAAACTACACCCAGCAAATTCAGCGCAATCTCTTGACATCACCGAACCAACCGACAACACCCGCCTCCCCCGTTCTCTGATTGGTTGGAGGGGATTCAACCGAGGAAAGTTTAAGGATGACTAAGACCAGGCTAGACCTGAACAGACACATTTGATTTTTCTTTATTATTTACTAATCAGTTCTAATAATTGTAGATCAAGTTTCTCTGGTCCTTTCTTGAGTGAAAACTTTGAAGCGTGATTATGAAATATGAGAAATCCCAAAAGAATCCAGACGTAGGTTCTCAGCGTTGTGTGCGAGCGTTAAGCCGTGCCGTTTGTGTACTGCGACAACTTATTCTCCAGCTCACAGATTCTCTTCTCCTGAGACACCACTGTGGCCTTCAGGTTCTGCAGCTCCTCCAGGAGGCGCTCCAGCAACTGGGGCTGAGGGGGAGGAGGGGAGGGAGGAAGAGGAGGGGGTGGGAAGAGGAGAGGAGAAGGAGAGAGAGGAGGGGGAGGGGAGGGTGAGAGAGGAGAAGGAAGGGGAAGAGAAGGAGAGAGAGAGGAGAAAAAGGAGGGGGAGAGAGAGGAGGAGGAAGGGGGAGAGGAGGAGGCGGGAGAGGAGAAGGAGAACCAGGGAGTGGGGGGTAGAAGGAGGAGAAGAGAAAGAGAGAGAGGAGAAAAATTAGGGGGAGAGACAGGAGGTAGAGTAGAACGAGGGAGAGAAGGAGAGAGAGGAGAATGAGGGAGAAGAAGAGGAGAAAGCGGAGGGGGAAGGAGGTGGAGAAGAGAAGAAGAGAGAAGAGAAAAAGGAAGGGGAGGGTGAGAGAGAGGAGGAGGAAGGGGGAATGGGAATGAGGGAGAGAAGAATGGAGGAGAGGAGGAGAGAGAGGAGAACGAGGAGAAGAGGCAGAGGAGGAGAACAAGGAGGGAGAGGAAGAAGAGAAAGAGGGAGAGGAGGAGGAGAGAGAGGAGAACGAGGAGACAGGAAGGGGAGAGAGGTGTAAGAAAATGAGGAGAGGGGGAGAGGGGATGAGGAGGGAAGGAGGAAGAAGTTGGGGGAGAGGAGAAGAAGAGAAAGATGAAGAAGACAAAGAGGAGGACAAGGAGAGGAGAAGTGGCAGGAGAGGAGGAGGTGGTGGAGAGAAACACAGAGAAAGAAGAGAAAATGAAGACAACAGAGTGAAGGCAGCAACAGTTCAAAAGGCTGTAACCCACGGCAACGATCACAAAAATCAGACAAGAACTTAAATGTTTGCCTCGTGCCATCTTTTGTGTGAAAGTAACATTTTAATGCTTTTCAATATTTCAAATTAATTATAAACGTTGTTTCTGTGGTTGTCAAGTCGAGTCACAACCTTTTTTAGAACGTGGCTAAAAAGACAGAACAAAATACGTAAAAAATAGATGAAAGAAATTGATGAAAATGGGTGAAAATGTTTGAAATAAGGGAAATAGATCTTATATATAGTACAGATAGTATGTAAAAGTATAGTATAGAAGACAGTATATAGTATAATATGGTATAGATAGTATCTAGTATAGTATATAGTAGGCAGGCTGTTGGCATCGCAAATGGACAGTATAGACAGTATAGTATAGTATAGTACAGTACAGTACAGTACAGTACAGTACAGTATAGTATAGTATAGTATGGCAGTAGTTACCGGCAGGCTGTTGGCGTTGCAGGTGGACCGTACAGACAGTATAGTATAGTACAGTACAGCATAGAACAGTAGTACTTACCGGCAGGCTGTTGGTGTCGCAGGTGGACATGCTGCGTCGGGTCGTGGGCCTGGAGTCCAGCAGGTTCTTCTTGGAAACCCGCAGTTCTCGGCTTTTGGGCGGGACGTATCCGTCTCTCAGCGACACCAGGATGGGGTCCTCGTCGCGCCCCTCCAGCCACTCGTCCGGCTCCATGGCGGGTTCTGGGCCCGCGGTGTCCGGGTACAGGTCGTCCTGGAAGAGGTCCGACTGTCCCAGAGCAACAGAGATGAGTGGGTCCAGAGGGACTAGGATTCGAGTTTTGATAGTTTAGATTATTAACTACTGTTTTGATTTAGGGCTATTCAGAAATACACTGAATTTAATTGAATTGTAGTAATTATATCCAGTGAGTAATGTGCATTTTTGTGGTTTTATTTTTTTTATAATTGTAATTTAAGGTCAATGTATGGGGGACGTCAGTTGGGACATCAGCAAAACTATATTTCAGACCATAGAAATATTTATCTGATCTCTGAAGCTAAGCAGTGTGAGGCCTGGTTAGTACTTTGATGTTTGAATTATATATGCCATGACATATTCCCCTTCTCATTTTCTCAATTTAATCTTTCTTATTGAAAATCATATATTCTCTCATTGGGTTTTCCTATAAAGTGGTTTATACAAATGATATATAATTTATTATTTTTAAGGACATTTATGGACACTGCTCATCCTGCTTCCAATAAAGTGTGCCAATAATGTGCATTTTTTGTGATTTTATTTGTTCTCTTCTGTAATATAAGATTAATGTTTGGGAGATTTTTATGTGACGTCAGTTCCTTGGGACTTCATAAAAAACTAAATTTCAAACTGGTGAAAACAACGCAAAGAGTAAGTGATGAAGTCTCACTCATGTTCTTTAGAACCAACTCTACCACACAACATTTCGAGTCAAATTACCCCGTAGCAACCTCTTAGCAACCACGGAGCCAACCAGATGAGAGGCTGGTCTGGTCCCACTTGTGCTATTTGCCAAAGCTGTATTGTCAGTTATAGCTCGTCAAGTAGTCAAATAGCTAGAGTTTACAAGTGGAATAACACATTAAAACCAATAGGTGTGGAAAATCACATTATTAAAGAGCAACATTTTACCCATAAGCCATTTCAGGGTTCAGGAAGCTAGCAGGTTTTGACATATCCAAATCCTTCTCAATGATTTGAAATTAACAGTACATTATTCAAACACTATTGAAATGATTCTAATACATGTAATCTGTTATTAATCTGAAACCATTCCTAGTTCCCTCTGGTAGTTGGTGCCCACACCCCGGTTTGGGAAACACAGAGCCGCAGAGAATGGATCCTTACTTTTCGAGGCACTGTCATTGTGATGGGCTCGCACTTCTTGTCGAGAAGCTTGAATAACCTGGAAAGTATAAAATTCTTCATGGTTATTGAAATCAGTGAAATTTTTTCAAACAAGATTTTTACAATTACATTTCAAATAATTGTAGTCTTGTCACACTAATGAAAAGGAGCAGAAAAAAGAAAACCAAATCTCACGTTACCTGCCCCTTTCTTAAAACAAAAATAATTAAGATGGACTTCAGCTCTCCTCCTTCAAACTGTTTTTATTTTAATTTTATCTGTTTTCAAAATTATTTTTTGTTTTTCATCTTATAGTTATTTTCTAATTTCTCTATTAATTCATTCCACAATTGTTGCTTTGATTTTGTTTCATCTAGTGGGAATCCAAATAAGAAGTTTCAAAACAAACTTCCTCTATGCTAAAAACTACCAGAACTAGGTTGAAAAATGCATAGTTTTCTCCAATTGTCAACATAAAGCTGGGGTACCTAACTTCAAAACTGCAAAACATATGGAACAATGTAAAAAAGTCAAGATTCTTCTCTTTCAAAGCGTTTGATTAAAGGCCTAGTTTTCACACGCGTGTATCTTTAGAACAGTTTTTTCAGACAGAAAAGTTAAAAATCAGCCCAAAGCCTCAAATAGTGACTCACACGGCTCTTTCTTTCACATTTACAAAGTTACGTACCTCAGCTTTAGAGGAAACATAACAGAGTGTCCACAGTTATTGAGCGCAGTGGTTATTTCTGACCGATTTCAAATGATCTAAATATAAATGAAATGAACAGGTGTCATGGATTATCACTGCAGCAGGCACAAGTGCAGTATGGATACTTTCAATACAGTATGTTTACTTTGTACTGGTCTGTATTGGAGAGTGGAGTTAACGTCTTTGAGTGTCCATAATTAATATTATTATCATCATCATCATCATTATTTATACTACTATTATTATCATTATTGAACTCCTCCTGTAATGAAGGATTTAAGGATCTCAGGGTCTTGTTCACGAGGGATTGAAGGACTGAGCCTGAGCTTGACAGATGGATCCGAGCAGCGTCTGCAGTCAGAGCTGCACCCGACCGTTATGGTGAAGAGGGAGCCGAGTCCAAAGGCAAAGCTCTCGATTTACCGGTCAATCTTCATTCCCTCCCTCACCTCTGGACATGAGCTTCGGTACCAACGGAAAAGACGGAATCACAGATAAAAGTGGTCGAAATGAGCTTCCTCCGCAGAGCGGCAGGTCCTGGACATGACCCACCAGGAGCAGACCAGGGGAAGACCCAGGACACAGAGTGTCTCTCTGATGAGTGTGGATGGATTATTAAAGGTGCTGGAGTCTGTACCTGGCGATCTCACACTTGGTGACGTCGACGCCTCTCTTGGGCATGAAACCCATCCCCCGCTGCGGCTCTTTGCTGCTGAAGGTGTTGAGGTAGTGCACGTACGGCGGCTCCTCTGTGATCTCGAAGTACCGCACACTGCTGTCGCCCTGCGCACCAACACACACGCACAAACACACAAACACACAAACACACACATACAGAGAGACACAAACTCAAACTCAGGATCACAAACATTGCACCCTGGGGTTTTTATGAAATTGGCTCCAGTTAGCTTATGTTCAAATTAGCTTCTTCCACATCACTCTTTCAGTCCACCCTTGATGTACAGTCTATGCTTGGAAAAATCTAAATTCCTTGCCGAGTAAACTTGGGTAAAGCTGCATTGTATTGTAAAGAGAAAACGGAAACAAAAATATCATGCTTGGACTCGTACCTTCCCACAGAGGTAGACCATGTTTGCGTCTGGGTCATAATACGGTAACAACACTCCGTTACTTGTGTCCAGCTCCAGCAGCGCAATAGGATCCTCGAAGTTTGTCTGCAGTTACAAATAAACAAAACAAAAAACAAGGGAGCACACAAAAAATTTCAATTCATTTTTTCAACCTCTAGTTTTTTTAATTATAGGCCTTTACCAAATGGTTGAGATGCTGTTTGAGGTAAAAGTGCCTATAACCAAGTCATAAAGATGCCCCAATGAGGTAGATTTCAGTTCCAAACATGCTTTAAGTAGATATAGTGACAAAACTAATCAACAAAAAACAATTTAAACATCTCATTCATATACTTGTCTGGTGTACATTGAGGACTTTTGCACATGTATTCCAATGTGGTTTTACTGCAGATGGCAAATAAAGTGGATGTGTTTTGCTCTCACCGGGTCCCAGAGACCCAGCTCCCTCTGGCTCATGCGGGTGAAGCCGGTTGTGAAGATGTTTCCGTCTTTGGTGAAGATGGCTCTCATCGGCCGGATCCCCTCGTGAGGAGCCAGACGTTCCTGAAGAGCCAGAGATCAGGTTCAAATGGGAGACGGATTTATGACTGGCTTAAAACACCGAGAATAAACACTCCCTTCTGTGTAAACTACTTTTGTATTTCTGGTTCTTTTAGAATAATATTTTTTGTTGTTATTATTATTACTCCTCTGACTGCCACCCCTCCCCTGTCCCAGAAATGGATTAAGGGGAAGAAAATGGATGGATAGATGGATTATCCACTGAGCCACGGCGGCACGGTGGCTGAGTGGATAGCACTCTCGCCTCTCAGCAAGAAGGTCCTGGGTTCGAATCCCGGTCGGACCAGGGCCTTTCTGAGTGGAGTTTGCATGTTCTCCCCGTGTCTGCGTAGGTTTCCTCCGGGTACTCCGGTTTCCCCTACCACTAAAAATATGTCCAATAGTTCTGGCATGCGCTTCCTGTACTGGCGACCCCACTCCCATCTCTGTGTGGAGTGAGATACAAATGCCCAAAATTAACAATTGTAAACCGCTTTGAGACTCAGCTCTGCAGTGTAAAGGCGGTATATAAATAAAAACTTACTTACTTACTTACTATTATTAGATGTATTATTGTTATTATTATTATTTATTCATTTATTTATTTTGTTTTGTTTTTTCTTGCTTCTGGCAGGAGTGGGGGGGATCAGGGGCAGTGCGGGAGGGGGCTGTTTCTTTTTTCTTCTTCTTTAGAAATAATGGGTTTAGAAAATGGATTGGAGGTCAGGATCTAGGAGACCAATGCGATAACATACTGACTTAACTATATCTACTGTCCTCAAAATATGTATCGGCAGAAAGAAGAAAAAAAAAAATCAAAACACAGAGAATAAAACATTTCCCAGGTACTGTATGTTACATTCACCAACATAACTTTGATTTTTAGCAACAGTACATGGTGAAGATTTTCAAGTTCCTCCAACTCTGGGGTCTATGTAGTGATGGAGGGAAGCTACTGCGAGCCACAGCCACAGCTGTCCTGGGGCAGACTGACAAAAGCCAGGCTGTCAATTCGGTTTCACCGGCGTCACTCATTCATGGTAATAACTGAGGCAGCTTTTATCATGACTCATCACTTATCTGTGCTCGCTTTCTCTGTGATTGGCTAAAATGTAAATGCACGTAAATAAGTTGGAGTATTTCAGAACATTGCATCAGAAAATTGAGTTAAAAAAGTGAAAAACATGTGAAAGATTGCCTTGCCCTAAACCAGCCATAAACCTGATGTAGGTGTCTTGTGAAACGGATCCACAGCAGTCCCACAGTGGCACCTGCTATTACAGCGGTCTCCCTTCACAGTACTAACCAGACATGTAGAAACCCAAAGCCACAATTTAAATACAAGCAGAGACTCATTATCCATTCAAACAGTTTGACATGATTTGTGGCGCCACCTGCAGGTGAAAGCCAGATGCCGTCAGACCTTTGACGCACATACTTGTTATCCAAATTCAAATTCAAATTCCAAAGTCAGTGTGCCCCAGGCTACAGTAGTAGTTTCACCATTGGAGTATGGAGTGAATGATTAATGACACGTGAAGCATCTTTAAATGTCTAGAAAACCATAATATAAAACAATGCATTATTACTTACATCATTATCATTATTATTATTATTATTTAAAGTCTGCTTCAGGACCCCAGACGAGCCGGCCCCTCAACTCACCGCCACCACCTCCCTCTTGCGGGGGTCGCACACTCGCAGGCGCCGGTCTTTGCAGGTCGTGCAGAACAAGCTTCCGTTGCGGTTCCAGCTGATGCTGTAGATGAGGTCCGGGTGATCGTCAAGCGACACCAGCGGCTCCCCGGTGCCCACGTTCCAGATGATGATCAGGTTATCGCTGCCTGAAAGGAGACAGCGGTGAGAATGACCATCAATACACTTCTGCTGATTTCAATTGTTCATTCATGTTTGTTTTAACCCTTTAAAAGTATTGACTATTGTTTAAGCAGGAAAGTCCCAATGGAATGTCAGAATCTCGTTTTCAGGGGAGTCCTGGCCCCAGAGAGCCGGGAGCATTTGTACATGTGTTTTTAGTGTTTGGGAAACCGGAGCAACCAAAGGGACCCTATGCAGACACAGGGAGAACATGCAAACTCCATGCAGAAAGACCCTTTCCGGAGGTTGAACCATACCCAGAACTTTCTTACTGAGAAGTGAGAATGTATCAGATTCAGATCATTTGCCATTTGCAGTAAAAGCACATTGGATGGTTTTAGTGCCATAATGTGCCAAAGCCCCAGTGTGCACCAGACCAACACTCAGTCACCATGGAAATATGTAGATACAACAGAAATACACATACTACATACTGTATACACAAAAATACATACTGTACACACATACCACATACTGAACACACACTCCATACTGTATATACATACTACATACTGTATACACACACTGCGTACCGTACACACATACTACATACTGTACACGCATACTACATACTGTATACACAGACTACATACTGTATACACAGACTACATACTCTATAGACACACTACATGCTGTACACAGATACTACATACTGTACACACACACTACATACTGTACATGCTGTACATACATACTACATACTGTACACACATACTACATGCTGTACATACATACTACATACTGTACACACATACTACATGCTGTACATACATACTACATACTGTACACACATACTACATGCTGTACATACATACTACATACTGTACACACATACTACATGCTGTACATACATACTACATACTGTACACACATACTACATACTGTACATACATACTACATACTGTACACACATACTACATGCTGTACATACATACTACATACTGTACACACATACTACATACTGTATACACATGATCAGTGGCTTCACCTGCTGTGAGGAGAATGTTGCGTGCCGTCGGGTGCCAGAGCACGATTCCCACGCGTTTAGAGTGACCCTCCAAGACCACGACGGGCTCCGAGATCGGGCGAGTCAGGGAGTTATCTGGAATCTGCCAAACCTGCAGAGAGAGGACCGGTTCAGAGCCGTCAATGTGATTATTTATTCTATATTATTATATATTTACAGAGGAGTGGAAGTCAGGCCAATCTCCTCAGACCCACTGTTTAACTTTTAAACAGTTGTTGTTTTTCACTTTGGTTTGTAGATTTGGATACAGTTTTATTCTGTTTTATTTGTTTTGCGCTGTTGTAACAACTTTATTATTACTATTATTAATGTTTTTTTGGCACAAAGGAAGCACAATGGGGAAAAAGGATAACATAAAATAAAATATGTCTTATTCTGCTGTATGTAACATGACAACAAGTGTGACCTAACGAAGATGACACAATATAATTAAAAAAAATAGACGTTTTATCCCGGGTGAGTTGAGTATAAATCTGTTTGGCATGAGTCTCTATAGTAATGTGCCCTCATGAGTCCTCTTTACATAACATGGGTGCAGCTCTTTGTGACAAATTGAAAACATTTGTGTTTGATTCATAAATCTCTGACGTCTCTTTGGGCCGTAGCCAACACTAACATATGAAAGCAGCAGCTTGTTTGTTCTTCTGAAGCTCAACATGGAGAGATTAGAGTCAGGGAACAACGCACACTGTCTGTAAAAGACACATTTTGTCCACTAATTAAATCTTAAATCTTACAGGAGCAGTATGTAAAAATCTGGCCAAAAGTGGTACTGCAACCTCTCCCACTCTCCCTGACTCAGGTTGCCAGATATGCAGACAAATCCAGCTGGGACCATAATGGGTGAAAGGACAAGAGATTTGTCAACAACAAATCTATAACCAACACCTTTTTCACAAAGGCCCCGATAGAAATCCTATCCGTAACGAGACCTTTTTTAGTTCTGTGGCCACATAGTACTTTACCAGTCAGATTAGCTCGATGCAGTGAGTTCTGGTAACCCCGGTCACAGACTTTCTGATTGGTAAAACAGTGGAGGTCAGGACATTGAAATGAAAACAATAACAAGATTTAGGGGTTGTAAAACTAATTTTAATGCTTTTGACCGATTAGGGACCTTTAATGGTGACTTGACATGAAAAGATAAAATACTGCTATATAGAATCACATAGTGGAGGGAAAATGACATATTTTTGCTTCTAAAAAAGGCCGTGGTTATAATTTATAAGTTCGTATGAGTATTTCTGTTGTCAGTAACAGATGCTGTGTGTGTGTGTGTGTGTGTGTGTGTTTGTGCACTTGTTTTCAACTCCTGGTGGGTTCCATAACCTGAGATTCCACTCACGTCATGGGGACTGGTTTTACGTGGTGGGGCCCGAACACCGGACCCCACTGGTCCAAGCTTAATAATCAATGGGTAATGCTTTTCTAACGGTCCTTATGCAGTCTCTGTAAAAATATGGAAAGGACCCCTGGAGGTTTACTTTCCTGAAAAAAGTGTGTGTTATGTGTCGGAACCCTGGTGGTGGGTTGCGGGATATCAAGGAGGGGCACACTGGGGCAATTTCAGTCCAGCAGGCTGGAGCCAATCATGGAGCAGCACAACAGAGGAAATCAGGTGTCAGGCTAGAAAAAGGTGCAAGTGTGTGGTTCATTAGGCTGCAAGAAATCATGGAGGAGCACACTGAAGCGCACGCTTACAAACCACTGGTAAGTGCTGACTACAAGTCATGACTTCAAATTGTTATATAGAATGATTACAAATTATTTGTTGTTTGTGCAGCTTAGTCAAGAGTCCCTAATTGATGAAGTCGACTCAGATTCTGACGATTTAACTGTCAAGAAGAAACCTGTAAAAAAGTATGGAAAAAGAAAAATCAAAAACACTTTTCTTCAAGACTCGGAAAGTGACGAACCAAAGGCAAATAAGATTGTTATCATGCAGCTGCAAAAGAAGAAAAATGGGGGGCGAGTTTACAGCAAGAGACACTTCTGCCTCTACTGTTCAATGTCCTGCCACAAAATGTCCCGTCATTTGACTAGAAAACATGGAAATGAAAGTGACGTAGCCAGAGCATTGGCTCTACCTGTGAAATCTAAAGCACGTAAACTTCAGTTTGATTTGATCAGGAATAGTGGAGACCGTGAGCACAATGTTGAGGTTTTAAAGGCCGGCATTGGAACTTTAGTCCCAGCTAAACAGCCAAATTCCCCAGTTAAATCCAGTGAGTTTTTGCACTGTATAGACTGTGGGGCATTGCTTAAGCGAAAGTCGCTGTGGAGGCATGTGGCCAGGTGCCGGCTTTCACAGAAAGATGCCCAGGCTAAACCAGGTAGAAGTAGGGTCCAGTCCCTCTGCTCCCTAGCCCAGCCTGTACCGGAGGGCATCAGCAAAAAGCTGTGGTCTTTAATTTCGGCAATGCATCAGGATGAGGTCACGGGTGTTGTCAAAGCAGAAAAGGGGATTCTGAGACTCGGAGAGCACCTGTACTTAAAACACGGGCATGATAAGACTAAGCATGATTACATTAGGCAGAAAATGAGAGAAGTCGGTAGGTTAATTAACGAAGCAAAAACCGCAGGGAAACTGAAAACAATTAAGGATTTCTTTATTCCTTCCAACTTTAACCATGTGATTGATGCAGTCAGGTCTGTGGCTGGATATGATGAGGAAACAAATCAATACAAGACTCCATCCTTGGCCCTCAAACTCGGCCATAGCCTCAGAAAGCTAGCAGATATTCTTGAATGTGACTCAAAAATGGAGCATTGTGTTGATGAACTATTTATTAAAAACCTCCAACGAAGCCGGCTGCTTTTTGAGAAGAGGTGGGACGTCTGTGTTTCTTCTGCTGCCCTACAGACCCTCCGGCAAGCCAAGTGGAACACTCCGGACCTGCTCCCTCTGACTGAGGACGTTAGAGCCATGCATGCACATATTGAGGTATGTCGACCTGAATATGTGCAAACCCTAATAAGTGAGCCAACGTCTAAGCATTGGTCTAAACTGGCAGTTTTGACTCTTTGTGAGGTCATCATTTTCAATCGAAGAAGGGAAGGTGAGGTTTCAAAGATGCCACTGACAGCCTTTACCTTAAGAAGTAAGACTGGGATCCATTCTGACATTGCTCTGGGACTGTCCCAACTTGAGAAAAAGCTGTGTCAGCATTTTCAACGCATTGAAATTAAAGGGAAAAGAAGTCGGAAAGTGCCGGTTCTTTTGACTCCTGAAATGATTGCTTCGATGGAGGTGCTGGTGGAGAACAGAAGGGCCTGTTCCATCTCTGACCATAACCCATACTTCTTTTCCCGCCCGGGCGCAGACACCCACATCAGGGGATCAGACTCCCTACGCCAAGTAGCCAAAGAATGTGGTGCGGTGCATCCAGAGATGCTATCCTCAACCAAACTTAGAAAGCACATAGCTACTATGTCTACAGTTCTCAATATGAAAGAGAATGAGATGGACATACTTGCCAACTTCCTCGGCCATGACATTCGCATCCACAGGCAATATTACAGACTACCAGAGGGGACACTGGAGCTGGCCAAAATCAGCAAAGTGTTGATGGCCATGGAGCAGGGAAGAGTGACGGAATTCGAAGGAAAGAGCCTCGACCAGATACAAATTGAGCCTGAAGGTAATTCTTGATATTATTAAAATATGTATGATTTTTTTCCCCTAAAGGCCACTTGTATTTTTATTTTCTGTGCGACAGGGAGAGCAGTAGAGATCCTCTCACAAACGGACGGGCTAAAAGAAACTTCAAGCGGAGAACCTTCAACCATTCATCCAGATGCACCCCATGGTAGTGGCAGTGCCCCTTCTGGTAAGTGTACCAGGTGGGGGATTACAGCCAGGCTGCTTGGTCCTAACCCTGGGAGTGTATATTGCTAATATATTTTTATTTCTCTCCCTAGAACGTGTAAGAAAGCCATGGTCTGCATCTGAGGTGAAGGCTGTGGAGAAGACCATGACACCTTTCATACAGACTGGAAAGGTCCCTGGGAAGTCTCACTGCCTGGCCTGCATGATTGCCTCACCAGATGACCTTAGACATCGGACATGGAGTGGCATTAAATTCTATGTCAAAAATAGAATCACTGCAATTCGAAAACAAAATCTAAAATAAAATTCCTTTAAAATAGTTGTTTGGTTTCTATTGACTGTTTTGTATTACTTAAAGTAGTCCCAGTAAAAAAAGATTATGTCTATGGGTCCCATTCTGAACGGCCCTGTCAAAGGGACCCACCAGGTAACAAAAACGTGTATGTGTGCGTGCGTGCGTGCGTGCGTGCGTGCGTGCGTGCGTGCGTGCGTGTGTGTGTGTGTGTGTGTGTGTGTGCACTTGTTTTCAACTCTTGGTGGGTTCCATAACCTGAGATTCCACTCACGTCATGGGGACTGGTTTTACGTGGTGGCGCCCGAACACCGGACCCCACTGGTCCAAGCTTAATAATCAATGGGTAATGCTTTTCTAATGGTCCTTATGCAGTCTCTGTAAAAATATGGAAAGGACCCCTGGAGGTTTACCTTCCTGAAAAAAGTGTGTTATGTGTCGGAACCCTGGTGGTGGATTGCGGGATATCAAGGAGGGGCACACTGGGGCAATTTCAGTCCAGCAGGCTGGAGCCAATCATGGAGCAGCACAACAGAGGAAATCAGGTGTCAGGCTAGAAAAAGGTGCAAGTGTGTGGTTCATTAGGCTGCAAGAAATCATGGAGGAGCACATTGAAGCGCACGCTTACAAACCACTGGTAAGTGCTGACTACAAGTCATGACTTCAAATTGTTATATAGAATGATTACAAATTATTTGTTGTTTGTGCAGCTTAGTCAAGAGTCCCTAATTGATGAAGTCGACTCAGATTCTGACGATTTAACTGTCAAGAAGAAACCTGTAAAAAAGTATGGAAAAAGAAAAATCAAAAACACTGTTCTTCAAGACTCGGAAAGTGACGAACCAAAGGCAAATAAGATTGTTATCATGCAGCTGCAAAAGAAGAAAAATGGGGGGCGAGTTTATAGCAAGAGACACTTCTGCCTCTACTGTTCAATGTCCTGCCACAAAATGTCCCGTCATTTGACTAG